TTTAGAGTGGCCTTTTATTGTGGCCAGCCTAAGGCACACCTGTGCAATAATCATGCTGTCTAATCAGCATCTTGATATGCCACACCTGTGAGGTGGATGGATTATCTCGGCAAAGGAGAAGTGCTCACTAACACAGATTTAGACAGATTTGTGAACAATATTTGAGAGAAATAGGCCTTTTGTGTACATAGAAAAAGTCTTAGATCTTTGAGTTAAGCTCATGAAAAATGGGGGCAAAAACAAAAGTGTTGCGTTTATAATTTTGTTCAGTGTACATACATATATATATATAATTTTATTTGAATGCATTTGATTATTTTCTCAGTTTGCTGTAAAGTTACTGTGAAATGCAATCCTGTGAGTAGTCTACAGCCATGTAACATTTTCTTGCAACTGGAAAAGCTACTCTGTTTTGTGCCATTAAACTGCAGTTTTTAGTTTGTAGCATCTCTGCTTTTTGCTAGTTACTCCAAACATCGGGTTCACCTTGCAGTGAGCGTCTAGTGATGCTCAAGATGCACTCTGCTAATTACCTCAGTCAGAGATGGACAGGCAGAGAGGGACAGTGTTTGCGTCAGGCAGCACAGTCTCTCCGTGTGCCTGTTGAATGGGTCATTAAGTACCCAACACAGTTCCCCACGGGGTTCTTGACGTCCTCTGTAAGTGTCCTTCTCTTCAGCAGTCTTAATGTTCCTGATTAATGCTCTTGCCAGGCTGGTTATGGTGTATATAGATGCTCATGGGAAGGGCATGTTGCAGTGAAGTTAGATTGACCAATGTTCTCCACACACTGTCAGCCTGTACAACCAAACCAATACCCTTCATGGGTTGCCAGAGCACCTCTAAGGATCTCTGGCTCTTGTGGGAGATTTACAATCTGTAAATGAGGAAGTAAAGAATACAATTGTCGATGTGAAACTGCAAATTGGTCTATTATGTCATTTATATGGGCAGATCCAGACAATTTAACAGATTTAACAGGTGTTTAATAGATATAATTGCTGTGGGGAATTATAGTACTATTTAAGTTCACTGCAGTTGTTCATTATTACAAGCCAAGACGTCATTTACTTTTAGTCACTTTTTCCAGTGCCGATTTTGTCCCCACATTTTTATGATATAGCTCACAGCAGGGATATATATTTAAAGATGACAGGTGTTGTTAACTGGACCAACAAGTCATATATTGGTTTTTAATTGCTGATCCGTGTGTTTATCCACTGACCTCCAAAACCCATGTGTGGCAGATATAAGAATTAAGTTTACAAATTAAATACGCATTTGAGCACTTAAATTGTTCAGCAAGAACAGTTGCCCATTCAAATCACTATGTACATTTACTTTAAACATGGTTCTTTACTGCAGATGCAATGTATTACACAGACTTTATTTTTTAAAACAGTAATAGATCATTTTAAATCATGTGTGCACAACCTAATTATCTGTAATATACACTACCACTTTTGTTTTTGAAAGAAGTGTCTTATGCAAAGGCTCCAATTATTTTATAAAAATTCAGTAAAAATATTAACATTGTGAAATATTATTACAATTTTAAACAACTGTTTTCTGTTTCAATGTATGTTGTAATGTAATTTATTTGATTTGATTTTGAGTTCACACGTATAATTATGTTGTAGCCTTTATCACAATTCAACTTATTGCTCATTTCACAGGGTTCAGTGTGCACTGTATAATGGATACAAAAAAATAAAGTTAATCACAGCTCATATACTGTAAATGCACCATTGACTTCCCCCAATCTCACAAATAGAAAAGCAGTGTAAAACTTCATTAAGAAGTGACATTTCTTTGGAACTCAGTGTTTTCTGTTTGTCTTTTAAAACAGTTAATGTGAAAAAAGCTGGAATTGATTCCTGGTATACTCTGAGCAGTCAGCAAATGAGAACTTGATGAAAGCTTGGCTACTGACTGCAGCTACTAAATAGCAGTGTAATGACTTGATTACTTAAATTTGTAAGGGAATTAATTATTATTAATTCATTCAGGTTTTGATAGGACTCGGATCTGAAAATCCGAAGCATGTGCTGGGTGATTAGCAAACCTCGTGATGGCTGATATCAGTGTCCGTTCATATTTAGAAATCCCTACAGCAGTCTGGTATTGAGATGTAACAAGTATGATGCTCTGGAAAATGGCACAGCATTAGGGAAATCTCACAAACAACCGGCACTCTTGTCATCTTTCATTTTAAGCTGATGGGCAGCTGCTCAAAAATCAAGCCATGCCATTGGTCCATATCCACATCTGTTGTTTTTAAAGAAGCCCTCAAGTTGATTGGATGAGATGTGGTTCTCTCCACCAGGTATTATGAGAGTTAGCTGAGAGCAGTATAGATGCTCTGAAAATGAATTACTTTGCTGCAACAGAAGAACTTGACCACTTAGCTTTTTTCTGTCTTCTTCTATCCCTCCATCTGCTTAGCTTCCTTCAGCCCCAAAACCTGAGAAATATAGACATCCAAACACACTCATTATCAACAGCAACTACTCCCCCACCGACTGTAGTCAGAAATAAATACTTGGACAGACCAGTCAAAGCCCATCCAATCTCTCATCTTCCTCATTAAACCTCAGAATAAAAGCGAATAACAGCGGCACAAAAACCCCACAAAGGCCAGACTGTTTTTCACATATTGCGCTGATTAGCACAAAAAGAGGCCTCATTTTTTGCGCTTTCAAAATTTTAAATTGTTGCCAGGAAATTGGAGCGAAAAGTAGGCTGACACCTTGGCCAGGGCTGCAATTTTCTTTAATTTAGTACTGCTATGAATACAGTGTTGCTTGAACGCTTTGTCTGCTGTCTGATTTGTATTCCTGTCTCTCAGGTGTCCGAAAGGTGCGATTATGTGTACGTCAACGGCAAGGAGACGCGTGGGAGGGTGAGGATGATGGTGAACTTCACCTACAGTTACCTCAGCGCTCAGCTGGAGGTGAGCGTATGGATGCCACGACTCCCCCTGCAGATCGAGATGTCCGATCCAGAGCTTAGCCAGATCAGGAGCTGGAGAGTTCCTGTAGATGCTGCCAACCAGAGGTTAGCGAAGTTTTTGTTTCAAGGAATCACATTTGACCTTGGGTTTATTGTACTATTGAAGCATATTTTAATTTGCAAATACAATATATTATATGACCGCTTTACATTTAAAAAAAATTTAAAAGAACCAAATTATGGTGCTGCAAATGAAAAATCATAGTTGGTTCCTAAAGACCTTTTAAGTGAAAAGTCTAAAAAACCCTTCACCATTGCAAAGGACCTTTTTCTCATTTGATGGGTTTTATGGATGCTAAAGATTACTCATGGAAACACACAGGCCAACAAACAATCTTTATTTTTGAGAGTTACAATTATATAACTTCTATAAATTATAATTGAGATAAAAAGAGCCTGGAAACTATGTTCTGCCAAGTTGTATAATCTTTAGCTGAGCAGAAAATATCCTTCACAGCCCACACATGTTATGCAATATGGTTCTGCTGGTAATTTGTAAGCGCAAAGATTTTATACATTACTGTAATAAGTCTCTCAGTACTGCACAGCACCAATGACGCTCCAGCTCACCGGTGTCAGTCTGCCCTGTCTTTATCCAGCCTCTCCTCAGCCATTTTCATGCTCTGTCGTTCTTGGGTAACAGCAGACGTGTAGCGGAGCTCCCTCTGGAAAGCATGATGGAGGAGAGGGGAGGATGCGGACGGTGACTTTTTAATTACCGCTGGGTCGTCTTCAGGCACACCTGCCTCTGACGCACCAGCACCAGACAACACGCAGGTTAATGCTGCCGTGCGCTGCGGATATCCACAAGATAATTTTTAATTACTCTTCCACCAGAAACAATCCTGCCGGATTGACTCATGCATGATAAGAACAGGATGACGGATGACAGATGGAATGAGCGGTGGAGAAATTGCGAGGCATTGATGAGTCTTGTGGAATAATTGTGGTTATACTAGAAGTTGTGTGGTTGTCAGCAAGCAAATGTGTTGATTGCACAATGATCGCTTCTCCATTATCTCAGTATGAAGATTCTATGACCAGACCTTCTCTTGCACCAGTCCACTTGGGAATTTAAGCATCTCTGAGCTTCCTCTGTTTTAAAAAAAAAACCTGAGAAAGTTCAGCAGTCATAAATATTTCTTACAGTGAAACTGTATTTTACATTATTTCGTATTAAAAAAAAACAATATATATATATATATATATATATATATATATATATATTGTCCTTGTGACAATTGAATTATTTAAACATTTTTTTCTTGCATATTAGCAAAATCCTTTCATGTGGCGGCCATCTTCATAACACCCCCAGGCAGCTCTTTGCAGGAAGTTTACATGCAATAAACATGAAAGAACAGCTCCTATCTACTTGAATGAGGCTGATTCTCAATATGGTCAGTCTCTTTATACTGTCGTGATTCTAGTGACATACAAGTATGTAAGGAAAGAGTTGGTTAGGCTTGCTTCAGACTGGCTAGTGCTAGGGTCTGATTTATGAACATCCTGTTGTCTTGGGCCTCTGTGGAATTCGGCTCCTCATGTTTCAACCATGTTTTGACCAAATCTTAGATTGTCTGATTCGGTCTGATATCCTACAAGTAATTTTGTGGCTCATAGCATCTTGTTTGAGTCTCTATTATCTATTACGTCATTATTTTGTTCCTGATGTAATCATTTGATGGTTTTTGGTGATGAATATTCCATATTATGTGTTGCCACTTAGAGTTCTGCAGGAAATAAACTCTAGACAAACATTCAACTTTCCATTGCAGAAAAGGCTTTTTGTAGTGCAAAAATTATTTTGACTATTAAAAGGTTCTTCACACTATGAAAGACATGTTTGTTTGTTTTTTGAAGAAACCTTCAATAAAAGGTTTTTTGGGGACACCATTGTTCTTCTATGGTATCACTGTGAAAGTTCTTACTGGTACCTGGACTTCCTAGATGAAATATATTTTCTACTGAAGCTAAAGCTAAAGAAGATATTAAAAGATGCACAAATGTTTTTGTTAGTAGTTGGTCTGTATATCAATTTAAATTGTATGCATTGCAGTTCTTAAAACGGTAGTTTACCCAAAAATGCTCACCCTCATGTCACTCCAAACCTGTATGACTTAATTTCTTCTGCGCATTAAAGGTATTTTGAAAAATGTCAGTGTGGTTCAAAAATTCAAAATACCTTCTGTTTTCCACAAAAAATGTGGCATCATACAGGTTTCGAACAACATGAGGGAATACATTTTGACTGAATTGTTATTTATGCGTGAGCAGTTCCTTTAAGATAGTGGCCAGCTGGTGAGTTGCGTTCATCAAAAACCCATGTTTACTCACATTTGGCACTTGACGAATCTTAAATTTGCACCCTTGTTGTATCATATGTGCCCTTGATCCTGAGGTTGTATCTGTCTCAGATAGCGTTTTGAGAGCGGGAAACATGCGGTTGTGTTGTAAGACTGGGTCTCATTATTCCTGAGACCTCCTGTGACCTGACATTCCTCAGCTGAGTGCCGCCTGCCCTGTTTATACACCTGTGTTCTGTAAATGTCATGCTGTTTCTACTGTCGGTCAGGCGTCGTTGCGTAAAAGTCTAGAGGAGTGTGGCCTCCCCTCTGGTCAAAGCCACCATGTTAACCTGCCACTGCTGTTGTTTTTTATTTTGGATGACTTCGACTCATTAAAAATAATGGAACCGTCAGAGCTGCCCCCCTTCCCCTTTCACCTGGTGCTGGGCTGTTTGTTGTGAGGAGAGGAAATGCATCACTGTAATGTGAAAAGGGTTCACGTTTACAGCCTGTTGAAGCGACTCTGAAAACTGAAGCAATGCTGAAAACTGCCGCTGCTCTATATTTTTATCATTTCTGTTTTTTCATTAATGCTTTTTTCTTAGAAAGTAAATTCAAAGTAAATGTAAGTTTTTGTTTTTACACTTTTAAGTTACGTAAATCTTTAAGGCAGGGATTTTAGAATACAGTAGGTTGAGAACAGAATATCATTTTTTTTTCAACCATTTAATTTTTTTATAATTCTGTCATTTCTACTTGAATTTGTCAACCAAATTCTTCCTCAGAAAATTATTTCAGAGTTACTGAATGTATTTTATATATTAATAATTGCTTCATCAAAAAAAACTTCAAAGACACCCAGCAAGCACTTAGACACTTTAAATAGAATAGAATAGAATACAATAGAATAGAAAATGTTTTCAACCTTTTAATTTTTCACAGTTCTTTTGTATTTTCTACTTGTGTCAACCAGAATATTCATCAGATAATAATTTCAATGTGGTTGAAAGTCCAAGATTAACCTATTTATAGAATATAATACAATATTATATGTTTGAAACTTTTCTTTGTTCTCGACCATCTAATTTCACATTGATTTTGTCGAGTATGTATACATACATATTTGATTTTTTAAATAAAAAATAAAGATTCAAAATATTCATTTGAATCTTTGAAAATAAAGCTTTGAAAATAAATTTTGATTTTACCTAAAAATATTATTTTTCTCACTAATTTTGTTCTGTTTATTTTTTTATGTTTTATATATAAACATTTTTAACTTTTTAATGTTTAATTGTTCTAAAATAGAATAGAATAGAATAGGAAATGTTTTTCAACCATTTAATTTGTCTCACTTCTTTTGTCTTCTTTCTACTTGATTTGAGTGTCAACCAGAATATTCATCAGATAATAATTTTAATGTGGATTAAATTCCAAAATTAGCTTATTTAATTTTAATGGGTTGATTTTTTTTAATAAAATATAATAGAATATTTTATGTTTGAAAATTTTCTTTGTTGTCAACCATCTAATTTTACATTGATTTTGTTGAATATGTATATAGACACATATATATATATATATATATATATATATATATAAATAAAATTAAGATTCTAAAAATTCAATCTTTGAAAATAAAATTTGAAAATAAATTTGATTTTATCTGAAAATATTATTTTTCACACTAATTGTGTTCTGTTTATTTTTTATTATATATTTTATTTATAAACATTTTTAACTGTTTAATGTTTTGATTTTGGAATGAATAGAATAGAATAGAATAGAATAGAATAGAATAGTCCTGATTGGAAAAGAATGCTTAACCGGGCACAGCAGGATGGGATGTAACATGTGGTATTGGTTGCTCTTTTTACTGCAGGTCTGGAGAGGATGATGGGGATGAAGGAGCCAAGAAGGATCGGAGCTGTGGTCCACAGTACCAGAGCACCACCGTCCGTGTGCTCACACACTTTGAGGCAGAGCCAGAGGAATGGCAGGGCCAGCCAGACTTCCTCTTGGGCAGTGATTGGCAGGTGGACGTGACAGAGTTAGTGAGAGACTCTTTAAGGGTGGTGGATGAACGCTTGGCCAAGCTGTCAGAAGAACAGGTCCTCGTCGGTCTGAACACAGGCATCACCAAGGTTCAGGTGAGAAACAGGAAGAATGTACTGTATGTAGGGCTGCACGATATATCGTTTCAGCATCGATATCGTGATGTGCGATTCCGTGATAGTCACATCGCAGGATGTGCGATGTTTAGTGTACTGAACGTTATTCCGTATGAACCAGGTACCAAAACGCAGGTGATTCTTGGATTAATTGCAAAGTTTAACCATCATACAGTGAAGGTTCATCATTTGCATGTGTTTTAGGTCCTGTCAGTTTAAACATTCGAGCGCGAGAAGGCGCGAAATAGAGCTCAATTATGAACACGCACGCTGTTTACTTTGCTCACACACAGACACCGTGTCTACACTGCAAGTCTGTCTAAACGACGCGACAAAGCGAAGGTTGAAAATCATTTGAACTTTGTGTCAATACGTCATAAATAGAACGAGGCATCAGTTTACTGTTGGGGATTTGTCGTGTAGCGCCGCGCCGCTCGCGTCCAGTGTAGACGCACTTCAGTTCACTTCAGCATCTGTTTGTGCCTGAAATGACACATAGCCTACGCGTGAAATTATGTCAGAATGCATGTCTCTGCAAGTATCCTTGTAAACACAGTTGCTTATGGCTTAGGTGAAGGTAAACAATTGAGAAAGTAAATGGATGTGTAACTAACAGTATATTGGTTCACAGCAGATTAATGTTCCTGTTGCTTTATGTGTCATGTTAATCAAACAACAAAACAGAACTTTTGTAGCTTTAACACAGATTTATTAGATTTAATTTATACAGAGAAGACTATGCAGTGTTATTTTACATTTGATTATTCAATTTCTGTACCTGAATACTGTTAGACTTACCTGAAAAATGTAAAGCACTGTTTATTTCATTTGTATCTTTGTTCTATTATATGTATCTATGCTTGTAATTTGTTTATTTTCTATGCTGATTTACTCACCTACAAAATCATTCCAATCATTGATTATTTTTTTCCAAATAGAGCTATTCAAGTCATCTGGTGATTTTTTATTTCTTTATTTTTTTCATATCGATATATATATTGCAGAAAAACTAAATATCGCAATGTGAGTTTTTTCCAATATCATGCAACCCTAACTGTATGTGTGATTATGTTTAAAAGTGACATGATGTACTATAAAAAAATGAATATCTTCACAGAAAATGAAGACCACGGCTGCATTACTATAATAATCTACTAAATCTATGAATTTTTGGGATTATTAAAACTTTTTCCATGATTCATTTGTTCTAGCATATTATGCAATTTCCTCAACACACCACAACCAGAGCTGCCCATTTTGTTAGGAACAAAACTGACAGTTACAGCTGACTAAGCCTCAGTTCCCTTGTGTTTATACTGCATGAATAAAATGTGAGGACATCCTTGTTTTCTTTGGAAAATCCTGGCTGTCATTTGTCTCTTTCTCTGTGTGGATGAGAGGTGAATCAGTCCGAGTTGTGATGTGACATGTGTACGCTGTCAGACGAGAGCTAGACAGCACACCATCTCTCACTCCGCTCTGTGACAGCTTGTGTGCTGTCTGTCTGCACATCTCACAGCTCTTATGACAAACGATAATCTCCTTTATTAAAACCTACGAATTAAGGGTCCGTCTGTGAAAATAACACATTTTTTCTTAAATACATTCACACATAATACACCTGCTCGACAAGCTAAAGTGCCATTAGAGTGCTATCTGACAGCAAAAGTATAAGCCAGAGCCACAGGTGGAGAGTGCTTCGATTTGATCCATTTGCTGAAAATTAAAATCAGATAAAAAGCCCAGTAATGGTGGGATGGAGTGTTCAAACCAGTGCTGCTTTATAGATCCAGATCTCTGAAATCAAAAACCCACCACTTAACCACGGCCAAATTACCAATCGTCCACCTTGCTATTAGACCAAACTTACTATTTAATTTCAAAAGGGGCCCACCTGTTTTTGCAATTCATTAAAACTAAATTGAATGACTAATTACTTGCAATTAGAAGAGGGAAAATACTGGTTGTTTCAAAATCAGAGCAATAATTGGTTTCAAAGTAGACTATTTGGAAGAAAAGATTTGTTGAAGTAGTGTAGCAAGCACTAACTTCTCTATTTATAAAAAGTGGAGCACTGGGGCAGCGTCTTACGCAATATTGGGTAATGCCCGAGGCTCCCCTTGCTTATTCTTATTTTATGTCTAATTAATAAATCTCTCAATTCAAATGGCAAATTAGGATGCGCTCGGAATAAGAGCGGAATATAAAAACAGAACACGAATTGTTACTTTACCTTAACATGGCTGCATTTTAGAGTGAAAAACTGTTGCCTGTGGACTTCCAGATAGTGCGCAAATGATGGTTAGAAGCAAGTGCGGGCCGTGCACGCGGGTGACAGTAGAAGTTCACTTACAGATAAGAAGTAAATGGCTTCTGACATTTCATTATAACATAATGAATGTGGAAATACGGAGGTGGCGGCTTTGCTATTAATTGATCCAGATAGGAAGTCTTCTCATCACGTTTCGTATCGAAGTCATTTCCTTGCCTGTGTGTCAGATATCGCCATATGGCCGAGGGCGGACAGCTGTCATTTAGATTCTTGAAATTGCATGTAGCCTACTCATTTTTTCTTGTCACAAAGTTTGTATGAGAAACTAGGAGAGAATTTTCAGTTGTTTTACAGTGTTATGTAACAGAAGCATATCTGTCTGCGTTTTTATCCAGGTGATGTCCCCATTGTCAGACTCTGTTCTGGCTGAGAGGATGATCCGAGTTCTGGATGATAAAGTCAGTATTACAGAGCTGGGCGTGCAGCTGGTTTCTGGCCTTTCCTTGAACCTTCAACTCAGCCCAGGAAGCAACAGGGCCATTGTGGCCACAGCTACCACACAGGAGACCATGCACAGTGTAAATCAGGTAGTATAATTTATATATATATATATATGTTATATTAATAATGTTTGTTGTTGTTGTTTTTAATTATTATTATTATTATCAGTTATTTATTTTTCAGCATTGTTATTTGTTCATTATTATTATTATCAATTTCATTTGTATTCTATTATTGTTTAATTAATATTATTAATCATATTTTTTCATCTCAGTTTTTTTTGTAGAGTGGTGCACAGGGTAGCCACTGTGAAATCTCATTGAATATTTTAGCCACATGCCGTTAAATTGCGAATTGTGTTCTGGTTCTCAGGTCACAGTTTTGCATACAGTACTTCCGTGTCCATTTCTCCGTAATGTAGGGTTGTTTTATCCATGAGGTGCAATCACTATAATCACTGTCATTATGGACAAAGTCATTTGACATGGGCCGCATGTTGATGAGGAGCTGCAGTTTGTTAGTGGATCCTGCTGCTCAGGGCTGCCCACTTATTCTGAGTCATCTCACATTTAAAACCCTTTCTGATTAGTCTGATTTCACTAATCCTTTGCATCGGCAGGGGTTTCCTCTCTTCTCCACGTTGATAGACATAAAACGGGCAGATTGGTTGAATCTCCCGCTGATTGGCACATCTGTTCTCTTTGAATTGTGGTTTTGGGGACTTTTAAAGCTTTTGAACGGTCCAACAATGGGGTTAAGAAGCATGCATAGTTGATGCAAGAAAATTAGCATTACCTGAGAGCATCTGTTCATGTTGTGTTTCTCTTCCAGGAGTCCCTTGTCAGTGCGTGGCTTCAGTTCAGCGATGGCTCCATGACCCCTCTTGACCTCTATAACCCTGCTCATTTCGTCCTTACGGCCACCTCGCTGGACGACCAGGTGGTGTCAGTGAAGAAAAGCACCAACTGGAGGTGGCCAGTGGTGTTGGCTAGGGGTGAAGGTCAAGGCATGTTGGTCCGTTTGGAGATGTATGGACCCGAATCGTGCCAAAAAACCAAACGGCGCACAGTTCTGGCCGCAGGCAACGCAAACGTCCATGTGAAGTTTGGCCGTGATGAAGAGACCGGAAACAGCGCGAGCGACAGGAGATACAGGCCCAATGCCCCATACTACGGCGGTTCGATCTCAGACATGGAGGCTGGAATCATGAACCGAGGCGCTACCACCGTCAAAACCTCCATTCCAGGAAAAGCAAGCGGCGACAGGCTCTCAGCTGGTGATATTCCGGTGGATTTCTCTGATTTCCCAGCTCAAGCAGACCTTCCACCTGGACGTAACGCAGAGGACGACCTGCTGCAGTCTCGCCGTGGGCTTACAGACCTGGAAATAGGCATGTATGCCCTGCTAGGTGTCTTCTGCCTGGCCATCCTGGTATTCCTAATCAATTGCGTCTCCTACGCCCTCAAATATCGCAACAAGCAGCTCCCATTGGAGGGCCAGGAGACCATGGCTCACGCCCACGACTGGGTTTGGTTAGGCCATGACGCTGAGCTGTTGGAAAGCCAGGCGGGTTTGTGTCTGGATCAAGAGGAGTTGGGCGGCACCATGGACTCTGGGCTGGGCCTGGAGGAAGATAGCCAGCTCCTCAATGGCCTTTCATCTCAGAAGAGTGTTCAAGGCCAGGTCCACAGGTCGGCCTCGGACTCGGGGTGCACTGGAAGAGATCACAAGACCGAGTCCATAAACTCACCCACTACCAAAAGGAAACGGGTCAAGTTCACCACTTTCAGCCATAGCAAGCCCAGCAATGGCTGCCCATCCATAAGCCCGCTTCTCATTGGTCAGAACGACATCAAATGGGTATGCCCAGACATCGAGCTCGGGGACTCCAAAGAGCTCCGAAATTACATGGAAAGGTTAAACGAAAATGCTACTAAGAACATCGCATAATGGGCTTGTAGTTATGTATGTTTCAGACAAAAGCGTAGCTCACCCATATGCCTTCTAGGTAAGGAGGTGGTGGTGGTGGAGTGGAGGGTGGATGGGTTGGCCTGACTCTTCTACACTCAGACAAACTCACATCTCACCGTGAAAAGACAAGCCATTCATCTGGTCTTGTTTCCATGGCAACTGTCATGAGGGTTCATCATCAGGAACGAAGGAAAACAGAGATGGTTGTGAAACCGCTGAGGATGTGAGAATTGGATTATGAGAAATATTTCAATTGAGATGTCTATATTTTCTTTTTCAAAGAAGAGGATTTTCCATTTCTATATTAAAAATATATATATTTGTTTGTTTTTTTCTTTCTTTCTTGTTTTATCACACTAAAGCCTGGTTGGTGGTGGTACCTTTTTGTGAGTGAATATCTCAAAGAGCTGACATTTAGACATACCAGTTTCGTGCTGGAAACCCAAGCATTTCCCCAAATTGAACATTGACTGGCTCTGATGATGTGTGAGAATACATTTTGTAAGGTTTTACATATTTTTATACATCTCTGTTCCTGTCCGTGTTAGTGCGTCTACTGTATTTCTCCAAAGACTGACTCCTATATGTAAAAGCATGTGAATTCAAAGTATGGACAAAAAAAAATTCTATTTTGGAACTTTTTCCACCAACAGTTTGAATGAACATTCAATATACTGCGGAAGACTTCTTGGAAAACAGGCAGATAAATGACCCTCCATGTCTCTTTGAGAGCTGTTGAGCAAATTGTATTGTTGTAGGTAGTGTTATCAATATTGTATAATATGTTGTTTACAGTATTATAATGATAGATGGTATGCACTCCAATTGCTTATGTATGTGTGCTATAAGGTTTTGTTTTCTTTTTTCGTTTCTTTGATTTGCTTTGCTTTTTTGTTCACTATGCTTACTTTTTCCCCTTACAGTGACTGCAGTCTAGAACAAGAGATATCTAACCTACCCAAATGACTGTCCTTCTGATTAGTGTAATGATTAGGTTAAAGTTAAGTGGATTGAATGAGTTTGAGGATGGAGTCCTCAGGTAATGTGATCGATGCGGTGCATACTTTGGTAAGAACACCACAGGACAGTTTTATGTGAATAAATTGATTAGTCAAACACTCTTATCTATATTAGTTTACTATTTCTAACCATCATACAGAATTTAATCAATACTCAATTACCCTTAACACAATATATTTTCTAAACCATTCTCACTAAGATAATGTGTGCCGACTAATTCCTCAGCCAGGTGTGTTGGCACTGATGTCCATAAAAAAAATTAATCAGTCCAACTGGATCATCCAAATGTCTTATTTAAGACTGTAAAATCTAATTAAGAGTATAAATTGTATTAATTAATTCTCTCCACTCTTCCCTGCTTGTCTTGTGTTTTATGAAACGGAAACATATTTTTGAAGACCACAGAAGAATAATTGTACATGAGGAGGTTCATCCAGTGTTCAAGACTGTCTGGTGTTCACTTGGAATACACAGTGCCGGTCAGTGGTACTATCAAGTCAATACTCTCAAAAAATGTGATGATTCACTGTTTATGTAGCATTTTAAACTATTTTTTTCAATGCAAAGCGCCTAAAAATTCAGTTTCATTTTTTATTCAATTGTAGTCTGTTTTGTGAGCTGAAAAGCACTGCCTATTACCACAAACAACGTGAAAACCATTTTTTAATTTATGCATTACATCACTGGGTTTTCTATTTGCATATTAAATAAAGCATCACATCCTGCTTTTCCACTTTTTACCAGTTGATGGCACTGAATTCTAACCCCAGTTGCCTCAAAGGGAACATGCAGATTTTGATGGTCATTCTCCTTGACAGGCGCATGACCCAAGTCTCCAAATAAAGGTTGCGTGTTTAAAACTGCTGAACTATACTGTAAATGCGCAAGTACAATGTTGCGACTCAACCTTATAATAAATGTTCTCAGAGCAGACTGTAATTTCACCCCATTGCACTGCAGTAAACAACAGGCTTTAACGAGAAGTGTGTTGTTGCGCCGTCTGAGCACCATGTAATTCAAAGGTTATTGCAGACACAATAGCCCTGGATGTGAGATATAGTCCATTTCTTCAGCCCTGCACATTAAAGGCTCATTAGTGCTAAACTATACAGGCAGGATCCCAATGCTGGATGGTGCTGCTCCCTCCCCTCTGAGACAGGCCAGACTAATTAATGATCAGCACGGTGAGGCTTTACTCCATGTTAATTTGACATTACCATGCAACCCTTCGCGCTAAATGATTGTATTCATTTAACTGACAGTGATCTGACAATTAACACCTTCTTCATCACATGTGACAAAGAAGCGTGACTCCACCTCGTCCATCTCCACAAACATTTGACCTGCCACTTGGGTACATTTTTGACATATTTTTCCAGAGAATGTTTCATAGCTTATTGATATTTCCCGACAAGTCCTGTTAATTTATCTTTCATTATTATAACTAGAACGCAAACAAATTAAAGGACGAACATGTCAACACAACAAAGAGCCATGATTTTCCAAAGGCGCACAACTTTATCCAAGGTGGCGACCGAAACAATACAAGTTCATTAGTGGAAATCATATACGCATGCTTAATATCATTCCCGGCGGGACAAATCTTTTTGAGATCCAAACTGAGAGGCTGCACACTTAACCCTCAGAGGGATGCTTCTGGAATTGGGTCTGTTTTTTCCTTTTATCTCAGCTGATATTTTGGTATTTGAGTCTCTGTTCTCTCGTCTCGGAGGAATTACGCGAGAACGCTCTAAATTAAATCATGACATTAGCTGGTGTCTGTCAGGAGTGTATATTGGCTAATGTCATAGGCTGGTTATTATCTGCATGAAAAGTTTCTTTCTTTCCTTTCTCGAGCTCTCTAGATTTTATAAAACAAAGGGTGAGAAAAAAACAAAACCTTTCAACCTCCCATTAGCTGAGTTTTCACGAAGAGCATCTAATCAGTCCAACTGGATCATCCAAATGTCTTATTTAAGACTGTAAAATCTAATTAAGAGTATAAATTGTATTAATTAATTCTCTCCACTCTTCCCTGCTTGTCTTGTGTTTTATGAAACGGAAACATATTTTTGAAGACCACAGAAGAATAATTGTACATGAGGAGGTTCATCCAGTGTTCAAGACTGTCTGGTGTTCACTTGGAATACACAGTGCCGGTCAGTGGTACTATCAAGTCAATACTCTCAAAAAATGTGATGATTCACTGTTTATGTAGCATTTTAAACTATTTTTTTCAATGCAAAGCGCCTAAAAATTCAGTTTCATTTTTTATTCAATTGTAGTCTGTTTTGTGAGCTGAAAAGCACTGCCTATTACCACAAACAACGTGAAAACCATTTTTTAATTTATGCATTACATCACTGGGTTTTCTATTTGCATATTAAATAAAGCATCACATCCTGCTTTTCCACTTTTTACCAGTTGATGGCACTGAATTCTAACCCCAGTTGCCTCAAAGGGAACATGCAGATTTTGATGGTCATTCTCCTTGACAGGCGCATGACCCAAGTCTCCAAATAAAGGTTGCGTGTTTAAAACTGCTGAACTATACTGTAAATGCGCAAGTACAATGTTGCGACTCAACCTTATAATAAATGTTCTCAGAGCAGACTGTAATTTCACCCCATTGCACTGCAGTAAACAACAGGCTTTAACGAGAAGTGTGTTGTTGCGCCGTCTGAGCACCATGTAATTCAAAGGTTATTGCAGACACAATAGCCCTGGATGTGAGATATAGTCCATTTCTTCAGCCCTGCACATTAAAGGCTCATTAGTGCTAAACTATACAGACAGGATAGTGCTGGATGGTGCTGCTCCCTCCTCTGTGAGACAGGCCAGACTAATTAATGATCAGCACGGTGAGGCTTTACTCCATGTTAATTTGACATTACCATGCAACCCTTCGCGCTAAATGATTGTATTCATTTAACTGACAGTGATCTGACAATTAACACCTTCTTCATCACATGTGACAAAGAAGCGTGACTCCACCTCGTCCATCTCCACAAACATTTGACCTGCCACTTGGGTACATTTTTGACATATTTTTCCAGAGAATGTTTCATAGCTTATTGATATTTCCCGACAAGTCCTGTTAATTTATCTTTCATTATTATAACTAGAACGCAAACAAATTAAAGGACGAACATGTCAACACAACAAAGAGCCATGATTTTCCAAAGGCGCACAACTTTATCCAAGGTGGCGACCGAAACAATACAAGTTCATTAGTGGAAATCATATACGCATGCTTAATATCATTCCCGGCGGGACAAATCTTTTTGAGATCCAAACTGAGAGGCTGCACACTTAACCCTCAGAGGGATGCTTCTGGAATTGGGTCTGTTTTTTCCTTTTATCTCAGCTGATATTTTGGTATTTGAGTCTCTGTTCTCTCGTCTCGGAGGAATTACGCGAGAACGCTCTAAATTAAATCATGACATTAGCTGGTGTCTGTCAGGAGTGTATATTGGCTAATGTCATAGGCTGGTTATTATCTGCATGAAAAGTTTCTTTCTTTCCTTTCTCGAGCTCTCTAGATTTTATAAAACAAAGGGTGAGAAAAAAACAAAACCTTTCAACCTCCCATTAGCTGAGTTTTCACGAAGAGCATCTTGCTGTAATCTTGCCTTCTGCTAGTTAACAACGTTGGCGTTGCTGTAAATGTCAACAGAGTTGTCAGTATAATGCCAGCACTGCTCTCACAACAGATGAAGAAGGATGGCCAAACCTTCCAACGTGCGAACAAATTTATAGGTCTAAATATGAACATGGTAATGCAAAATGCACGATATAGACTTAATTTCCCACTAACTGGTTGGTTCAGGTCTATAACTTTACAATAAACCTTTCGAGACTCATCATAAATGTCAGTCAATGCCAATTTATGAACTGTCAATCATTTTGGGAGTCTGGAAGTTGTTACGCCATTCATTTTCGCCCAGATAAGAGTCCATGACATGAACATCGGCTTTTACGAGAACTG